TGCTTATGGAGTAAAGTTGTCCTTTCATTTGGAGTATAAAGGGAAAGCTGGTATTAAATCTGGAAGCACTTTTCACCCAGACTTCACCTGGTGGCCTCATCAATCTTGTATGATCGATTTCTCCCATGTTGTTCTTGTAGAGCTGCAAGCAAAATGGAGCAGCAGAGGATTATTGTTTTGATACCATATCACATTATTCCTGAGGGAGTCCTGCAAGGGAAAAGGATATTATTCCTTGCTGCAATAGCATCCTGGGCTGCTTGCAGGATGGAATATCTCAGGGTTTGCCTTTGACAGACCTGCAGTGAGGGCGGCTCTTGCACACCCAGAGACACCCATCAGTCAGCTCCTGAGACCTCAAGATTTCCCTTATACCTTTTAATGCAAGATTGAGAAATGAAGCCCAAGACCTCCTAGGAGATCTCGGTGGGTTTTGGCTACTATGTAGGCTAGCAATGGGATTCCTGTTCTGATACACAGCATCTCCTCGCGTTCCTGCCTAAGGACTTTGCAAAGAGAAAATTAACAAGAAACAGCCGTATCTGAACCAGTATGAAACATGGAGGCACCCAGTGTTTCTCTTCTCTTTTGAGCCCTCTGTCTTTTTTTCCACTTGGTCCTTGGGTGTTGCCATTGCAGTTGAAATTGTTGGGTTTTCTCTTGTCAATGATATACACTGCCAGCATACCGAAGTAGCCCATCTGTAGATCTTAAGCAGCTGAAGTTGTGTCTTTCTTTGCTGACTCCAGATAATCACTTAAAACTTTGCCCATGCCCCAAGGACAGATAATAAAATAAATAGAGAAATTCAGATAAACTGGAGGCAAAACACAACCTCAAACTCATGTTGGGTTGATGTAAATAGAGATGCCATTTTCACGTGTCATTACATTTCAGCCGGTTCAATGTGTTGTCCCACCTTGCCTGTACAGCATTAATAACCATTACAGGTGGTTTTCTAGTGCCTTAAACCAATCTGGTAAGGCAATTTTATTTCTTCTCAGCAGCACCTGTGATTAAAATACTCTCTTCCACAGTGGAAAAGACTGTGAAGCATTTACTCATCTTCCATAATAAAAGCCTTTCTGGGGATGAAGGGAAAACGGCAAAAGTAAAGTTTTCCAGTACTCAGCAAAGATAGAATTTCATATGAAATTTTAATTCATCATATATTTTTAATCCTCGAGATCTGATCTGAGTAGCATGGTGTTTATATATCGTGTATCACACACATACAAAATGCTGCTCAGAAAAACAGGCTTGCCAGGGATTATTTTGCACTTGGCAACTTACTGCATCCACATATTGACATATTAATATACTTATATATTGAATTAGTAGGATGGAATCCTGCCAGGAGGGCACAGCATAGTGGATTGGTATGCTCTGCTGCCATTCAGGCTCCCCTGCGTAGTCCCTCCACCTTGGATTGCACACAGATAGCAGCATCCTACCTGATAAAGCACCAATGCTGGGTTAGGTGAGACATCACATGCCTCCTTTGGGTTTTGCATCCCCTCTATTGAGTCCAGCATGTTTTGTTTCCTTGAGGACGAGAGTTTGGCAGTTCCCTGTGTGAAGATGATGCCTGGTGAACTGAGCCCAGGCAGGTGCACAGCTTGGTGGACTTAAGCCCAGCGCCACCTCTTCTTCCCACGGCTGAGTGCTCACTGCTCTGTCAGCACAGATTTATTTCCGTGCTCCATTTGTAGGAATAAAAGAGCCAGATAAGAAATATGTTTTTAATAGCAATGTCACCAATGAATGCCGAGGACCTTGATAGCAGCCATTAAGTAAAAGCAGGGGTGGAATGAGCATCATTTGTCTGTTGCCAGCTTCTCTCAACTGGCTTTCATTTAGAGGAGGAAACCCCCCCCACCAGTCATTGCCATCCAGGTAATAGTGAAATATATTCGTTGTCAGCAACAGGTCAAAATGCAGAGATATGTTATTCACAGCAAGCTGACTTCACATTTTCTGAGCTAAATGCTGGATCCCTTGCCTCAATTATTCACATATGTTTTCTGGTTTAATAATAACCCACATGCTGTCCCCTAAAGAAAGCTTGCAGCTCACAGGCTTCATGATGTTCAACTAGAATACATAGGTCTGCTCAGCTATTTCTTGTTCGAGAAGCCAAACCAGTGAATCTCAGGATAAAACCAAGAAAGGTGCCATATATATACATACATACATATATATATATAAACAAACAATTTACCCACCACCAAGATCTGATGATGGAGCAACTTACATGAGAAACTAAGCGAGCCTAATGGCCACACCATAATAGCTTCCGCCCTGCACAAAAACACTTGATCATTCAGCATCTTTGGAGGCGGCTGCTACTGTGTTCCAGCATAACACGCTGCATTCCATGGTGAAACAGCATGTATGTAACGTTACATGATAGATGGCTATGCTTGCTGTTTAGCAAGTGCTTGGTAACTTTGATGTATGGTTTTGTCTGGTGTGCAGCATGTGACAGCAGAATTGTCCGGGTAAATGAGGGTGTGCTCTGGTCTGAACAAACACGTTTCTGTTACAAGTGCTGGAGCTGTATGGCAGATGTCTGTCCTTCTTGCTCTCTTTCTTCCTTCCACCCTCTCTGTTTCAGGCCTTCTGCAAAGCAAATCACTTTTCTGCCCACATAGATTTGGACTGCTTTTCTATCAGCTTGGTTGTTGCATTTTCTTACCCCTTCAATTCTGTGTGGGTGGAAGATTTCCTTCACCTTCAGAAGAGCAAAGGCAGAATTAAACTTGCAAGCATGACCTGGCCTTGTGTAATAACACCTCTTTGCTCACTGCTTCAGAGTTACCATACAAATAAATGATCAGATTCATAAGCAGGCTCCACAGATGATCAGAAATAGAGAAATTACGGTCTGTTACACCATACAAAAGCATAAGGATGCTGAGAGTGAAATACATCTAGGAAAAAGGGAGTTCAGTGGCAGTAGGCATAATTGGAGGTAGGTAAGGAGTAATTTATGCAGTTAGGGATGTGCCAGGCAAGAAATGAGGGGTGGGAATGACCGTGGTCAGAAAGTCCCATTCCTGAACTCTCCTGCTCACATCATCATTCATGTCTCATTCTCAGCTCTGTGACAGCAGCGAGGTGCTAGCTCGGGAGACATCACCACGATGGGTGACACTGTGCTCATCATCATTCCAAATCCTCTTGTCAGGTGCTGGATCCAGTGAACTGGGCTGCTCACCAGTGGGGGTTTCAGTTTCTGATGGGAAAAGCAAACACTGTGAGAACACAGATGGTGTTGATGTAACCAAGCCCCATGCTCTCCCTGGAAAACAGTTCGGTGGGAGATTACTGACCAGCACCAAATACACTTTCAACCCAGATAGCTCAGTGATCCCTCCAAGATGAAAGACCAAGGAGTTTCAGATTCCGTCCTCCCATGCGTCACCTCTGGGTGATGCCTCAGCAGTCAGGCATCAGACAGTGTCCTGTGCCTCATGAGCCCTCCGCCTTCTTAAAGAGATCACTTTCAAGTGTAATGCAGTAAAGCCTCATATGATTTCCATATGTCCTGCTGCCTGAATATTTTGCAACTGAATCACAACGAAAAAAACCTTTATAAACACATTATCTTGACAGGGCCAATTCTAGAAGTGGCAGGAGATACCAGAGCAGAGACTTTGAAAGGAGTTCGTTATTATCCAGTAGCTTTTTTCACTGCATGTCTGTGAAATTTATGTCAGTGAGTCACATCCTTTCAAAAGAAAGAATGAAAAGTGCCCTGCAGGACAGGTGAGCTCCTCCCCAAGCCACCCCAGGACTATTTAGCTCCGGAGCTGCTTGCAGCCCTGCCAGCAAGGCTATTAGCTGAACAAGCCACAGATCCAGATGCCTCGGCTGGGAAAGAAAACGATCCAAGCTTTGACATATGGGTTTTGCTACAGCTGTAGCCGCAAGCGCTGACTCCTTTGCTGGAGGACATAGAAGGGCCAGATGGAAAGAAAAGCAACGCCACCGCTGCTGCCCACAAAACCGGACGATTCGAGGCAGGCAGCGATGAAACAGCACGCATACTTCTGACAGCACGTAACGGGCCCTTGGAGCATGGTTTCGGGGGTGACACGGCTCTTGGGAGCTCCAAGTGTTGTGCACAGGATGCAAAAGCTTCAAGATCTGCCGGCCTGAGACTCACAAGCATTCCCTACTGGAAGGCTCAAGTTGTTCTCTTTTAAGTTGGGGCATCTCCCTGCTCTGCGCTAAACGACTGATATTGATGCTCAAGATTGTTTTTTCCCCCAAAAGCAATCTGTATTTTTGGTGTCTATTCTGATACTCCTTAGAAGAGCCTACTTTCTGGAGAAGGTTGAACACATGCTTCTCTGCAAACCCCTGCCTGGAGCCCTGGAGCAACTATTACTGCATCACAGACTGTAACTGGGACCCTATCTCTGGAGCCGTTCCTAGACCGGTCCATCAGCAGAGTAACAGAGTTGTGTGCATCTGCCACACCTCAGAGGTGTGGGACAACCTGTGTGGCACAGGGAGCTTGTGAAGCAGCCCAAGTAGAGGAGAACCTGGAGCAGCAGCACCAGGATGAGCAGCTCTGCCCTGCTCATGAAGGCTCTGGCTCCTCTTGCTTCATTCAGTACAGAGTTGACAACCTCAGCTGTAAACAAAACCGATGGTTTATGGCCTCATCTCAAACACAGCATGGATTTCTGCTGCGTGATCCAATCCTGGCTGGACCTGTCTGCCTAATAATGCTTTGCGGATTCTTTTAACTCCTCCTGACTTCGTGCCCCGCTTTCTTCTTATGAAAAGCAGCAAATATTCCTCTCTGCACCTGAATTCAAATGTAAGAAGTGCTCAACCTCTCCAGAACAAGATATTTCAAATACAAGTTCTGCAGTGCCCAATCCAGAATTATCCCCAGTAGTGTCCCTAGAATTAAGAGTAATTGCAAAGCTGATGAGCACCTGAATGATGGAGCTAGTGATACCACTTTTGCAGGTGGTATCAGGCTTGGTGATTTAGATAGAGGACTTCAAAAGCTGAAGAACAGCAGACCCTTGGCTTTAGTCACTGGCCCATGGGACACCAATGGATGTGGCTCTTGTACAGAGCTGATCTGCTTGAGTCCAGGTGGGATTTAGTATTGCATTGAGACAGAGCACAGGAGATCAGTTTTCCTTTATCTCTCTCTTTCCTATGTGTTTGCTTCCCATCCGATTGAAGTGCATCCCTACCTTTGACTGCAAATTGGAAAGATAGCTAATGCTATGGCAGGAGTCATTATGCATTAACTGCTCAAAGCACCTGGGAGAAGCTGGTTAGATTGCAACGCTTTCAGTGTGAAGGCTGGTTCAGCTCTTTGTGAATTTGTAGTAAATCAGCACTTAATAATAAGAACAAACGTTTCATTCTCACTTGAAAATTACTACGGTTAGAGGCTTGTAATGTGTAGTTTTCATGCAGGGGTTACATGACGGGAACTTAAATCTGGTCCATTTTCATCTATAATTTAAAATGTGTCATTTTGATCGATGAATTAGTAGAGAAACCCGGGATAATTTCGAAACTACCAGCTTAGTAAAGTTGTCTGACCTTGCAAATAACCTTTCCAGTTTAGAAACCTTTAATAGCTTAACTATTAGCTAATCTCCTGGGAAGCTTTTTCCCTGGGCAAAACTAGTATGGAAATACAACACCAGTAATAAGGTTTCCATCTTTCTTCTATCTTGATCTTTTTAATTAATTGCCGTTCAGTAAAAACACAAGACTGGGAGGCAGGGGATAAAAATCGTTGCAAGAGGAGGGCAGGAGTTAACTGTAGGCTGTTTCTATCCTTTACCTACCTTTTTTGCATAGATTCATTAGGTGCTGAAATATATTAGCAATTCTTAAGGCATAACTGCTGCCTGATTGCTTGACACTTTTGGCTGAAAGCTGTGAAACAGATCACTTTGTAATGGAAAAAAGCTGCTCCTGCTTATAATGAGCAAACATTTAGAAACCCTGAGTGCTTTGCAGGGCACCTCAACAAGCCCCTGAGAGCCTTTGTGCTGCAGTTGGGTCGTAGGTGATTCCTGGGTTTTGTGGGCTCTTTCTTTCTCGGGATGGGCAGTGGTTTTTCCAAGGGTAACCATGGATTGCAAGTAAGTGATTTGTTAGAGGAGAAAGAAAGAGTGGTGTGTAAGTGAAGAGGATAGGGTGGAAGTTCATGGCCCAGGTGAAATGTGGGCTAACATCTAAAACAGGTCTCAGGTTCCTAAGGGTCCTACTTATTCTCCCAAAGTTCCTAGCGCCGTTTATCTAATAGCCCTCAAATACAAGCATTATGTTGAATTGATGAGAGGTTCTCCCTATAGCTTTACCTGGCTGATAAAGGGGTTCTCATTTTACCTTATATGCGTTTTGCACTATGTTTTTCCATGCTCTCTGGGGGGGAAAGAAGAAAATCTGTTTTCTAGGCTAGAAAAGTGTGATCTTTCCATTGCTCAGCTCCCTGGCAGCCCACTTCCAGGTTCAGCTGATGGCATTCCCCTTGCAGTAAGGACAGGGGCACCCAGGGAGGGCTTGGGTGTCTGCTATGCCTCAGGTGCTGCTATCCCCGCTGTGTTTCACCCTTTTAACCCTATTAACTATTGCTGTTCCAGTAATAAGAAACCAGAGGCATGCAACTGAAATGAAAGCTCCTTTCAAACCACAAATATGAATGCTTCCATTTAAAAAAAAGTCTTTTTTGTGTGTGTGTGTGAGTGAAGAGCTTAGTAAAAAATACATTAATTTGCAAGCATTGTGCATCTTTTGCTGGAACAAAAGTATCCACCACACAGGTCATGGTGCTGTTTATGTAGTAATAAATGACTCCTGGATAAAGGAATACGGAGTTTTGGGGCTTCTTTCAGGCTCATCCGTAGCTGCTGAGGTTTATTTTGCACGTCTACACTTAAGCTTTTTGGCTACATCAGCCAAGTCCCTATCTCAGCACAGTGACACAACCAATATCTACCCTGGCACTACCTATCTGGGTTATTGATCTCCAAACATCTCCTTCCCTGCTGAGACTGTGCAGATTCCAACTGCATAGGATGGAGTAGGCACAGGGCCCCACTCTGTGGGCTCTGTTTATAGTGAAAACGAGCTTCATCCTTGCTTGGTGACTGGTGTTGCCTGGTGACCTTTGAACTAACACTTAAGCCCCCGGAGCACAGAAATTAGACTTCAGTCTGGAAGAGCCCCTGCTCCAACAGATGACCTGTTATTTTATCTTGAGCAGCGGCAGCCGCGCAGGAGCGTTGGCACATGGCTTTTAGAGCTAATCACTCACGCTCTTAGAGGAGAGCAGGAATTTCGCTCCCTCCCCCTCCTGCAACCTGGGACTTTAATGTGTGTCTGGATCATTTCAGGCTGATCCTTCCTTAACTTCTTCTGTTTATTTCCTCCCCGGCTCAAAGTTCTGATACAGTCCCTGGATACGGAGGTTGTTCGCTTCAAACCCTTCCCTACTGCAGGTCCCCATCATCCCCCTCCATGAGCCACCTGCAGTATTCTTCATCCTTCTAGGATCTCCCCATTGAATCCTGAGTCTCCCATCTTCTTGCCTTTTCCACTACTACAATTCATCCCTGATGATGCACAGGCATCAAGCCAAGTGAGAGAAGAAGCATCTTCCCCACTCCCTTTCTCTCCTATGAAGCCTATAGGGAAAGCCTGAGGCTACAACCAAAATACAGAAGGGAATCTCCACTTTTTTCATGCCCTTAGGCTCCTGAATATTTGTTGTTTGACCAGTTCTGCTCTACCTAACAAGGGCTTCCTACAGGGACTGAAGCGGGGGGTAGCAACACACAAGCTTGTGTCATGAGAAAATGACAAATGGCATTGCTAGCTAAGAGCAACTGAGATTGAAACTAAGAGCCCTTGTGGTTGAACTGTGGAAAGCCATGAATAATGTGCCAAATTGGCCTCCCTCCTCTCCCATTAGGTCTAAATCAAGTGTGGGGCCTCTCCGGGGCTTCTGGTCACCACCTCCATCCATCAGGAGGTCTAGTGGGTCAGACCTTAAATTGGTTCCTCCAAGCAAGTGTTGATATCAGGCTCGTTCCAGTACTCTTGATACTGCCATGGGGGCAGAGCTCATAGGCTTCCAGTGGGCAGGATGACACCCCCATGATAAGAGAAGCAGGTGCTGGTATGACCTCCTTGTCTTGATGGCTGTGATAATCAGATGGGATTACTGTTAGAAATATATTCAGAGATGCTCAGCATCACCGGAGACAGAAGAAATGAACCTGTTTTCTGTCCAGAGAGTCTCACATCAGTGTATGGCCAGTATGGTGGCTGTCACCTCCTTTTGACCTTGCATCTCTGGTCTTCATCAGGTTATCCCTGGATCATTTGTATCCAATGGTGTTCAGCAAGTCCAAACACTGGATACACACACAGAGCTTTCGGGGGAGTCCCTGACTTAATGGGACTGTACCTGTCCTGCCAGCAAACTACCCTGCAACCCACAGAAAAGCCGGGTAATGGAAATGGGGGACTGTAAAGCTCTTGTCTGGTTTGGGCCATTGCAACTGCAGAGGAGAATTCACAGCCTCTCGCAGAGGACTGCGCTCAAAGTAAATAATATTTCAGAAAACAAAATTCATTTTCCAGCCTGAACCCAACTGCAACATGATACGAAGTGGAGGGGGGGGGAAGTAAAAACACCTTGCCCCCAGGGCTATTTATTATTTATACACCCCCGTGCCTAGATAAACTCCTCCTTGAAAGAGTAGGACGAAAATAATTCTGCAACGTGGAAACAAGCTACCTATTTAAAGTGATTTTTTATGCCTGAATGGCCTCATTATAAAAACAGTCTGCGCGCAATAAGTTTGTACCTTTTTCTACATTATCCAATGAACTGCTTTTTGTCACTCTCACCAGTTTCAGGGCTTTCATGCAACCACCTTGGTGGAAAGCCTCCGTGGTTTCCTTAGAAACGTCTTCCTTCCTGGATGTTGACCCATGGTGGTTGAGGCAGCTAAAACCCTGGAGAGGTCCTGTTCAAACAGGAAGGAGCAGACAGTTTAATGGCCAGCTTTGCAGCTCTGTTCCTCCACAGTTTACAGTAGTTGGGAGCTATAAAAGAAAAAAATCATAACCAATGTTTCTTTACTGTACAGTCAGCTTTGTGTTGGTGTTCGCTGAATCCGTAGCTCACGGGTTGCTGTCGGGCAGCAGTGGAGTGGAGATGGTTTGCTTGCGAAGTGCTGGTGCTTGGGAGACAGCCCCCTCGTGTGCAAATTGACTTTGTCCTTTGGGAAAATAGATGTTGTTGAGCTTATAGGTGCATTCATAATTCAGTAAGCACAAGGGGGGCAGTCTGAGAAGCTGTAAATACCATCACCTTTCAGGTGTTTTGCAGTGCTTGCACATGAATGCTCTGCAATGTCTCGGCAGAAAGAAGAGGCCAGAGTCCTGCAGTCTATGAGAAAGCTGGGATGTTATTAAACCAGGTTTATCTCCAGCTCTGCTCATGGCCAAACACTCATCCCCAAGGACAGGTATCCATGACTGCCATTGGTATTACTGAACATGATGCTAGCAAAGCTGAAGGAGGCTTCAGAGTGTCCCTCAGGTGAAGGGATCTGGTGAGGCCTTTCTACCATGCACCTCCCACAGAATCATCCCCTCTCATCTAAGACATCAGGAAGAGCAAGCTCATGGGCACGTTATGCAGGTGTTTCACACTTGCTGCTTCCATTTGCTGTTTCCTTGTATTTTTATTCACTTCCAGAGTAGCTTTTGAATTCGATCAGCTATGCTAAGACCTGGGCACTTGGGCTGTCTAAATACTGATAGCATCTTCTAAATGCTGCCTGTTCTCTAGGTTTTGTGGCCTTTACACGAGGAATGAAATAACAAGTGGCAGTTGAATTACCAGCTCTAAGCTGCTTAACACTCCAGTGTGCACTCTCCAACCAGCATAGAACAGGCACAGGCTTGGGAAATCCATTGTATGAAGAAGAGCAAAATACCTCCTATGGTGAGCATGGCACACCTCCTGTCCCCATCCAAAGCAGGAGAAATGTTTGTTAACTTCAGTTCAGAGCTTGGAGTGACCCAGGACCACCTGCAAAACCCATGCAGATCTGGCCCAAGGCAGATGGCAGGGGGTGCTACTCATGTGTCTGCCTCTTTTTTGTGCCCTCATGGGTGCACGTTCATGTGCAGAAAGTCTGTATGACAGGTCTCTCTTGCGCTTGCTTAGCTGCTAAATTGATAGAGAAATCTGGGTTGTGAGGCCATAAGCAAAGAGAATCAACCTAAAGAGGCAGAAAAGGAAGAGCTGTAATTGACAACAAAACCAAATTACACCAGAGCATTTCTCTTAAGGTTTTTAATAGCAAACATTGCAGAGAGCAGGTTTTTCAAGCCAAACAGGAAGGAAAACAAATAAACAACTACAGCCAGCTAAGTCACAGGCTTTTCGAAGTCAGGCTATCAACCAGGGACCCACAGACAGGAACTGATGAAGCCCAAATCTCTAGGGAAACAGATGAGGTTTTCAAAGAACACAAACACATAAACCCTAAGATGTATGTGCATTTATACATAAGCCCAGGGAAGAGGCAGGCACCTGATTCCCAGGCTGAGGGTTATGAGCTGGAAGAAGAGTCTGGTGACTTGATCCACACTGTTAAAATCTGGCTGGGGAGGTAATTCAGGTATGTGCAGATCTTAGCTAAGACAGTTACTATTAGTGACAGTGACTGCTGCTGGCCTGGATGTGACAGCAGAAGAGGAGGGAAAAGAAAAGCTGAAGAATGCCTACAAATGTGGAAGCCAAGCATTAGGCAGCTTCACCCTCCCTAAAGGACAGTGATGGATATGGAAGAGCGCTCTGCAGCGCTACACACAGTCTTTAGGGCAGAAACACTGCAATTTAGTCACATCAGAAGCTATAAGGCTCTTGAGGGATCCTGAGCTCTGCTTCAGGATGACCTGTCGTGGGCTGAGCTGCTCTTACTCCTTTCCAAACATCTCTCAACCTCCAGGCAGTTTGACACAGTAATGGATAGGGTTTAATACCTACAGGCAAGAGTTCACAGGCCTCTTGGCGATGTGTAAATTAGCAAGTGGACAGTTGCCCCAGAGCAAAATGGCAAACAAATATTTATTAGTTGTTTCAAAGAGCCCCAGCAGTAAAACTTTGTCATTTGACTGCAGAAGTGTTTGTGTTTTTACTGAAACCAGTGCTAAAGGTGATGGCTTTAGTTCTGACTGAGGTAACATCTGTAACGCTGTGATTTACTTCCTCCAGGTAACAGAAAAAACCCACCAGAATGTGTTTCAACATACATTGCTCTTGCAGTATGCTAGGAAGATGCCAAGGGGGAAATTAAATATCATTTTACATGAGCAAAATTACTGTTGGTTTCACTAAAACACTGGATTTTGTGACTCCTGGGCAAAGGGCTCCAGCTAAATGATAATGTAGTAGGACAAAATGGTGTGACAAGGAAGGTGACAGGAAGGGCATGAACATTTCTAAACCTACATATAGGTTGCTAGATTGGAACATGGATAGGAAGACACTTATGAAGGATAAGGAAATGATGAAGGCACCTGGGCGTGTGCCATAGCTGAAACTTCTGAGTTTACTCCAGTACATCTTCACTAAGTACTTGAATGAATGAATGGCCTGAGCATATGCAATGGGAGTTAGTGCGTGCACAAATGTAAGCTTAGTGCTGCAAAAAGTTATGGAAACACCCCCAAATCCATTAGTCTCACTGTGTGCCATTCTTATTCCCCCTCAGACACAACAGTAACTGAGGGCTGTAGTTCAGTATGAATTTAAAGATCACAACACATAAACTTTGGTCCAGCCTTTGAAATAACTCTCATCTCAGTGACCCCAGCATCCTGAGTCAACTTGGTTAAGGAAATATGCACTGAGAGGTCATAAAAGAGGCTAGGCGCTCTATAACTCTGTAGAGACTCATCAGTGCCTGGAGACGGGCATCCTTCAGGCTCTGGCTTCCTATGGTTTCTTTATCTCCAGGGATAGTAGAGTCACCCTGCACTCCTTGAAATAGATGGTCTCCAAATGTTTGGCTTGAGGATTAAAACAAAACTCAGGGGGAATATTCTGATGATTTCAAAACACAAAGGACAGTTTGGTGATGACTGCTCTTTGAAAGAATTCCCCAGGTCTGCTGGGAAGCTGGTTTTTAGCTTTTTTGATGGGAAGAGATGTAATTATTGGTCTGTTTACGGTGGGGAAAATACATTCTTTTCAGTACTCATGAGTGAATAGTGGCTGAAGTATTTCACTGTTCTGCTCTTGCTAATGCACCTTTCAGCTGAGACTATGACAAAAAAGAAATGCCATTCCCCAAGGAAAACTTAATTTTTCTGGGAAGACATGAATTAGCACAAATTAAAGTTCTATCTGCATAATTCACTTGGAATTCCACTTGAAAGGCTTTTGCAATCTTAATTACACCATTTGTTCCTCATTTAATTGTGTAACACTATGGAATTGAGTTAAAAAGGAAAAGCTGCTGTATGACTTTCTTATGAGACACCTAAGGCTGGGTAGCTGTTCAGGGGAAGGTTGGCGTATGTGTCATCAGGCAGCTGGTCCCAGCCTCCTAAGGCTATGTTCTTCCTTAGGATACATGAGTATTAACTTGAAGAAGCCTTCTATGCCCCACCAAAAGCCAAGGTGCCTCCAAGGAAGATTTTACAAAATCAGAAGCAATAGAAAGGGAGGAAGAAAAATAACTCCAGGATGATTTTAGATGAGCAGTTATTAATGCTGAAAATTCCTTTATTAACCCCTCCAAACCTGCTCTGCAGGGAGGGGAAACTTCTAAAGATAACTGAAATACATTAAAGGGACAAACTCCACAGTTTGTGTGGAAAGCTGTGACACGTCAGATAAATCCCTATGGACTATCTGCATGTTTACACTGCTTTTATGTGAAGTAAGTGGACTGTCCCCCACAGAGCAGCTCTGCTTTCTAGGAGTGCTGAATCTGGAGCTGAGTGACTCAGTCTGAAAGCTGGATCAGTTTTATGTGTCCTCTAATCCCCCTCAGACTACTTGTGTCCATGAAGACTACTGCTTCGTTAATGCAGAAGGTGAATTTTATGGCAACACCGAAGTCCGCTCTCGTATGTTATCTTTGCCTAGAGAATAGGACTTTTGACATAAACCTGGAAGGTAGTTCAAAGCCTTGCTGCATAAACACACATCCATTTTTTGTACTTTAGGAATAGGTAATGTAAGAGTTGAAAGGTGAAGGTTATGGCAGTTCGTGTTTATTTCACCAAGAGCCAAGAGATGGGAAACATCTGGCACTTACACACCACGCAAGTCTTAAAAACAAAGAGACGTAGACTTTAGTCCGGCTGAGCAAGCACTGGGATAAAAGCTAATGACAGGCTGCTTATTTAAAGGGATCATAATACAGGACAGCCATGTAGGGTACCAGGGAGGATTCAGGAGGGGGAAAAGGAGGGGAAAATTTAGCTTTGTATTTCCAAGTTAAGGGTCAAAGCCTGACTCCAGTTACACTCCAGTGTCAATCCTGACCTGCAGGCCTTATACAGTATGTAGGACCCTCCAGATCTCACCCTTTTCTGGTTTCCAACATGACCAAATACCCAAATCAGTGCTTGAATTGCTGCTGGTGTGTTTCATATGTGACGATGTAGAAGTCCTCAGGACCGACTGCTTTCATGAAGGTGGGAGGAGAGCCTGTGCACACAAGTGAATCACAGTGACTTGAGTTAGTGTGAAAGGTTCATCAGCATATCTTGGGAAGGACAGAGGTGCTCAAGCACATTGCTATGGCTTCCCTGGAGCAGATCTTCACCTGCTTTGCATCTCGTGCTGAAGAAACTGCTTTGCAGAGTGTTTTTTTGGAACAAGCCCAGAGGAGGCCACAAGGATGATCAGGGGACTGAAGCACCTCCCGTATGAAGATAGGCTGAGAAAGCTGGGGCTGTTCAGCCTGAAGAAGAGAAGGCTGCGTGGAGACCTCATAGCAGCCTTCCAGTATCTGAAGGGGGCCTATAGGGATGCTGGAGAGGGACCCTTCATTAGGGACTGTAGTGACAGGACAAGGGGTAATGGGTTAAAACTTAAACAGGGGAAGTTTAGATTGGATATAAGGAGGAAATTCTTTGCTGTAAGGGTGGTGAGGCACTGAAATGGGTTGCCCAGGGAAGTTGTGAATGCTCCATCCCTGGCAGTGTTCAAGACCAGGTTGGACGAAGCCTTGGGTGAGATGGTTTAGTGTGAGGTGTCCCTGCCCATGGCAGGGGGGTTGGAACTGGATGATCTTAAGGTCCTTTCCAGCCCTAACTATTCTATGATTCTATGATTCTCCTTTAGAAAAACTCCAGACTGAACACGTTCATTTATTGTGGCAGCTCCTCTTCCAAACCCATCACTTCTGATCTCCCATCTTCTCTATTCAACCCCCAGAATAAGTTCCTCTCTTCAGCAAGATCCATTTTGACAAGCAAAGTTTTACCCAGAAATTGAAGTGTGATGATTCTTTGACCCTTTCCCCACTGCCCATTGATATTCTACAGGCCATGGTCCTACATCTGCTTGTCCAATGTAGACAGGCTGCATGGTCAACCCTTGTCTCCCCAGCCTCCTGACTTCGCCTGATATCCTATCCACACCCTAGTTACGTGAGAGCTTCACCTCCCACCACTAAAAAAATGCATGTAAAAGCAAAACACGGGATTATTTGTTCATGATGTGTTATCCATGTGTCACTTCTCAGCCAAGAACATGTATGTTCCAGCCATGCTGTTTCATTCACAGTCTCCTACCCGCTGCTTTGACAGCACTGCTAGAACCTTAGAGCTAAGGAGAGCTTCAGTTTTTGCTTTTGGTAAGTTAAGTTTCCAATCCCAGCCCTTCAGCAACACCAAGAATTAATATTTAACCTATCTCCAGGAGAATGAGGAAAAATGGGCCCCTCCTTCTAAGATTTTAAAACCAACTATTGAAAACTGAGCATTCTCTGTAGCAAGCATGCATGCGAGTCCTCCATAATATGTTAGCTTTTCAAGAGGAAAGACCTGTCATACAACTAAGTAGCGTAAACCCTCTTGATCCCATAACATGTGATAAGGGAACAATGGTTACTGCCCTAAAAAGTGATTTCCAAGGGCAACTACATGACAGCAGCTCAAGTGCTAATTCTTAATGTTGTGGTTTGCACCCAACTGTAAGATGCGTGGTATCATACCACCAGTGCCGTGTGCCAGATGAGCAACATGCTGCTAGAGCAAACTCCAACTAATGGTTCACATTTGTAAAAGAGAAAAAAACCCAACCAAGAACCCAAAAGCCCCCCTTTATAACAGCAGGTTTTTTAGCATATCAATATCGTCTTAACTTCATGTTGGACCAGCTATCTTCTGCCTTTCCGCACCAGGGGTGCAGCTAGCACGGGAGTATAAAGCTGGTATAAATTCCATATCATGTCCCTTGGCTAATTTGACAAAACACAATCATGTGTCCATGCCTGATCCACATTAGATTTATAGTCCTGGGTGAGCTGGCAGTGCACAGATCTGGTATTAATAAGCCTGGAACCACAGCCTAAATCTATTAGCTGGAAGCACTTATATGATTCTATTTTGTGTCAGAGCAGATGACTGCAACCAGGACACAGCAGAAATTACATGGTTTTTGCCTGGCTAAACTTGTCCTGAGTCAGAGCTCTTGGAGAGTTCCAGCCACTCCAGGTACTAATATTGAAACTGATGTTTTGGGGGTACTTTATGGGAATTGACCCTAAAAATCTGAGATTCCAAAGGATGAAGCTTTGTCCCATGAGAAATAGCCTCCTTTTACTTGAAAGATGCTTATATCCCATGCAAAGAAATGTCATCTATGCTTGAGAACCCACCATTGGAGCAGGATGAAAGCTTACGTGCTTAACATAATGTGCAAGCATGGTAAAGATTTGGAGCAGTATTCCCTGAGAACTTAATGAGACCCGTATTGCAAGAGTCTGCCATAAAAACACAGCTCCCTTCCTTAGAATGATTTGTTCATACTAAATATCTGAAAATCATTGTCAGGCTGTTTCCTCAGCAATTAGATATTTTTATACGCTACATTTCTTTAATAATACTAAAACTTATTTTTTATTATTTAAAAAAAAAAAAAGCTGTCTCCTTACAAACACATTATTAAATTACAGTTTATAGCTCTTGCAGTGGGGTAAATTATGGGGGTTTTATTAAAGTATTTTAAAGACTGGAGTTTTGCCGACGTGTTGCTCATTGCCAATAGCTGGCCAGGCCCATGAAGGCTGCAAGGCTGCAAGTTGCATCTCACAGAGTCCTGCACACCAGGGGGGAATTGATGTTTGGTTTTCCAAATAAAGGGATATCACAGAAAGCACATCCCAGCTGACTCCGAATCTCTGATGTTTAACACCCATTCTCTATGTTGGGGGTGTCGTATTTTCTCTCTCGCACGCATTGAGGGGTTGTTAGACCCCAGGAGGAGGAGGATGTACCCTGTCACTGTTCTTTTGTTTATTCTTGGTGCATTAGTTTGTTTGCTTCTTTGTAAATGACCCTGCTTCTCCACAGCTGCTGGCCCACCGGGAGCTCCTCAACTTGAAGTGTTCCACATGCTCGCCAAACTGAACATCACAAAGTATGGGCAACATCCAGCCTGCATAAAGATGCAATGAAAATGCAAGCTCATGCCACTAGTCCAGCCATGCCAAAGGACACATAGGCCTTCAGGACCCGCTTCTCTTCTGTGTTTCCCTCCCTGGGGTTATGCTGATGTCGAATTGACATCAGGTAAAGGAAAATCACATCCCAGGTATTAAACAAACATTTGGGCCTTATTTGGAGTCAATATCACGTTACTTAGAATCATAGAATAGTTAGGGTTGGAAAGGACCTTAAGATCATCAAGTTCCAACCCCCTGCCATGGGCAGGGACACCTCACACTAAACCAGGCCACCAAGGCTCTGCTCAACCTGGTGTTGAACACCGCCAGGGATGGAGCATTCACAACTTCCCTGGGCAACCCATTCCAGTGCCTCACCACCCTAACTTCCATAGGCTTGTATCTGCAACTGATAACTGTGCTTCTGTCATTGTGCTTTCTGATGTTAAACTGCAGTGCAAGAACAGGCTCGCATGTGTATGTGGTCACAGAGCTGAAGCCCCAACAGCCTCGCTGGGGGCTGATCCTGCGGGAGAGCTCCCTCGTCTTCTGCTCCCAGCAATATCTACGCACAGCATTTGGCACTGAAACAGGAAATTAAGGGCTGTAGGAAAGCAACCTTTGCCCTTTAATTCACTTTTTAATAAAATCATTAAAAGAAACCTACTCCCTGCCAGACATTATGGGAAACTGCTTTAATGATACTTTCAAGGCAAACACATTCTCTCGGCTGCATGTAGGGCTTGCTCAGTAGCTTTGTCTCACTTATTTGTGTGGATGCAAGATGAAAATGGTTTGAATTATAAAGCCAGGCTAGAAAATTTTATATGAAGCAGGCCATGATAACAACAAGGGGCCAGGTTCTGTCCATTATACACTGATGTGTAAACAACAGTTACAAGGGTTTGCTAGAAAAGATCAGCAAGTTTGAGCCAAAGATGAGCATCAAAACCACAAAACGACAAAGAAAGCAGAGGGATTTTGTGTCCTCCCAGTCTTTACTGGGAACAAAATGAATGCCATTAACTGCACAAGCGATGAGCACACAATAAACATGCAGTTTGTAGGAGCACAAATTCATCTGTCCACAGCTAAAAGCCTCAGGCTGTATCTCTTAATCAGGCTGCTTTCCCATAGACTTCAGAGTTTGCCATTGCATGTTTGTGTAGGCTTTCGTGAACAAATTCACAGCATTTTTGTACTAGAGAAGAGGCAAATCTTGCTTTATGATTGTTAAATTCATAACTTACCATTTAGGCATATATAAATCTATTTAAGAAATCTTATTAATTGAACCTACCTACAATGGTTACTGAGGACACCTTAAAAATTACAGGAGGGACCTGCACTAAACCAATTTCAGTATTTAGTTACAGCAGCGAGATTTCAAAAGACTGAATTATTTCTATCTAGTGCAAAGTTTGCCCTCATGTACTTTGATTTTGTCTTGCATTTTTCCCATTGCATAGAAAAAATGTTAACCAACAAACCTGGTAGTCAGTTTTCTACAATCAATAAATTCTAAGTCCAAGCCACAGTAGCTTTTATGTCTGTGTGTTGTAAAAGTAAATTTACATCATATGTCAAACATTACACATGAAGACAAAAACAATGCTGATTTCTAGTCCTAAAAGATATATGTGTATCCATAAAATCAGCAAGCTGTGTCCTGAATGCAGCTGGATGATCATACTCTGACCAAATGGCTTTTTGTCTAAGGCTGGAGATCTGTCAGCCTCAACTGTTTTCCAGAGCCGCATCTGTTTCAGGGAGCGTTGGGAAAACACAGGAGAAGCCCCTGCTTTTCTATCAGTCCTGGGGGATCCCGGATTTTCCTGTTTACAGGGATGTGGAGAAGCCAAGGGGTGATACCAGGTTGCCAGAAGTTCCGGAATGGCAAGAACTGAGCCCAGACTGGAGCTGTGCCCTTCTACAGCAGAGAACCAGGCGAAGTTGGGTCACTGGAGGGAAATGGCAAAGGGGGAAAGACTCATCTGTGCTAATTAACACAGGATGACTTAATAGCACCAGTATGATCTTAAAGAAAGCAGATCTGATCCTGGCAAGAGGGACTGAGCGGGTGCAAGGGAGCAGAGAAGCCTTTGCAAGAGGCATTGATAAGACCCCATCGGGGATCCCGTGTACATTGCTGTGCACCTTCCAGGCAAATCCCAGCCAGAAGAAAAGCAGGAAAAGGGCAACTAGAGAGACCAGGGAATATACAGTTTTTCTTACAAGATGAAGCTTAAAACCTATGGTACCTGTAGCCTACTAAAATTAAAATCTAATGAATAAATGAAAAATAAAATGAAATCTAAGAGCGCAATACCTAAGATAGAGGACAAGAGCAGCAGAAAGAAAGAAAACATTGTTTTAAGGAGCAAATGTGGCACAAGAAGGATGGAGTGTAATTTCTGCCCACAATTACATAAACAGACAAGGAGCTCCACCAACTAAAGAATGGTCAGCACAGCTTTAAGGTCCATGGGTTTACCCCAACATGCTGGAAGTAGGAAAATCTTCTTGCAGTGGCCATGGTTTTATTTATCTTTCTTCCAAAAATGAAGATACATTGCTATTCATCTTTCTGTCTCCGGGAGCCCACACCTTGGTGGCCAGGGAATACAGCAGAAAGGGAAAAGAAGGAACCAGAAAAGACCTGTTCATAGGCTCTTTAGCAGTGATAACATCCTCTGTGAAAAAGCACTGCTTCTGGACAATACATGAGAGCACTTCCAGAACATTTTCCACTGTTTTCCAATGACATGACGTTAGTTTATTTGGGTGGACTCCTTTCCTTGGCTTCTTGTGTCCCGGTTCTTGGCTGGAAACCTCCATGGATGAGTAAGGAAAGGAACGCCACCTATTCCCAAAAGTAAAGAGGCTTTTTGAGCTACAGTCTTTAACAAAAAAAGCCCGTTTACCTTCCTCATGGAAGGAATTTATTAGAAAATCTGTAATGAAAATTAATATATCTCTGAAATGAGCTCTTTATCTAATCCCTCACCAACTTTCTGGGAAGTGACTATGTGGAAGCAATCGGATTTCAGGCTGGATCTGGTTAATAGAAACTGCCACCTGGTGAATGCTAAAGATTATTTTTGCCTTCACTAGGTGTGGTCTGGTTTACACTTAGGAGGAGACCTGATCCTCAGATATTGATGTTGTACAATTAGGGGTTGCAACACAAATAG